CACATATACACACACACACGCATTTGGCGATATGTCCGGAATACTAATCTGATCAAAACCGAAAACCTAAAAGATCTTACCTTTTTCCTAAAATTAAGTTATTGGAATATGTCAATGTAATTGCTTTTCTCGTCAACGATTCTATTCATTGAATAGAAAGTGAAATTTGAAATAAAAAAGTTTTCCCTAATTTTCTTTTTTGAAATTTCTGGAATGAGTCAAAATGTCGGATTATTTAGACTAAATTTGAAGAGCTAAAATAAAAGTGAGATTAATGAATGGAAACGGAACAGAAATATATCAGAAGACGAATCATTCCGTTCTCTTTTCTTCCTGTTAACTAACGAAACTAAATATTTATTGTTTCAATCTTTCTGCAAAAAAATAGAATTCAAAAAACAGGAAAAAAGTTCTTTGTTTGTTTTTCTTAAAGAATTGATTTCAATGGATAACGAAATATTTGCAAAGAGAATGATAAAGAAAGAATTTCCGGTCTGATACTGAAAGATAATCATCCGGAATGCATAATTTAAAGTATCTTCCAAAAATATTTAAGAACAATATGGATGAAAACAAGGAAAAATCCTGAATTTTGAAAACATTTAAAAATCGATCAGCAAAGTGATGTAAAAAAATGAGAGAGAGAGAGAAAGAGAGAAAGAAATGAAAAATAGTTTGGTTTTTCTTTTGAATTCAATTAGGAACAATTTGTAAAAGACAAATACAAGTCAATTTTTTTTAAGAAATCTCTATTTGAAAATTGATAAAAAACATTCGATCACTGATAAACGATAGATATGATATTTTCAGCTGTCTGGGAAATTTTTAATTACAGTTAAAAAATACTTTCTGAAAATTATGCTAATATTGGTGATGGGAAAGACAATGGAATTTCTTGCTGATGAAAATATTAGTGACAGTTCATCAATACTATATGTCTTGCTTATACTTTCAAAATATTATCTCATATTCATAAAAAGAAAAATCGTTTTTTTTTTTATATGAACTAAGAATGAACAGAATTAGTATCAGAGAATTATTAAAGGTCACTATTTAAGGCCTTTTATTCAATTCATTGTTTATATATAGGTTAAGATTATATGCAAGCAATTAACAACGATAAAAATAAATTTCAATTAAAATAAGCAATTTTGTGTTGGAGTCTGATTCAATCTATTCAATCAATAACTTATCGCTCAATATTTGGCTAAAATTTCTTGCTATATATTTGCTTCAACATGCTATCTATTTGTTTTTCGATTCGCTTCTTATTAAATCCGGTATTCAGGAAGGGTTTTCGAACGAAAGATAAAATTAATAATGATGAAAATAAGTCATGATCAAATTTTAATTGAAATATCGCAATTGGAAAGTTTTAGTGAAACACCTAAACAGCAATTGTAAATTTAAATAATGATTTAAATCTTATCTGTGCTTTTGATAAGATGCCAACATAGCTGTTGTTCACTTCCATTCTTCTTCATCCTTCTTCCCTCCTCTCCACCCCTTGTTGTTTACTAAACAAATCTTATTGACGATTACCTATGATTTACCTATGACAAGAGGGGGTAGCCGACTATGATGAGAGAGAGACAGAGAATGGGAGAATGAAATGGTATTTATGCCACCAATCATCTAAATTCCAACTGATACGATCGGTCGGTTAGTCAATCAATTGATTGAATAATGGATGATCAGGTATATTAGTATTAAAATAATATTCCAAGAAACTTTTGGGAATCAAATTCCCAAATTTCAATTTCAACATTATCATTAGAACTGGCAAACTTTATATGCTGCTACTATTTACTAATTTATGAAAATGAAATTTCATTTATTGAAATTTCCTTAAATTTACTTATATTTGGAAGTTCATTTATATTTGTTAATTTATGAAAATAAAATTTCGATATTAATAAATAAGAAATAGTCAGTCATTAGATAAAATCATTTTAGGATTTAAAAAATGATTAAATATGCTTGCAAAAGAAAATAAATCAAATTTTCTAATAATCCTAAAATAGGCAGAAAACATTAATAGTTAAACAGAATTAAATAACAAATTAAACAACAAGTTTAGTAGTTCAATTAAATAAGTTTAATCGAATTAAATAATAGGTCATTTAACAATGTCTCAAATTGTTCATCCAACATATATATATATATCGGTAATTTGTTAACTATTAACAATGAATGGTGTATTCTTTTCGAAATAAATCCATCGTATAAATCTTGAAGTTCTACGAATTTCCCATTTCAAAATAAAATTGAAATCAATTTCAATCGAATCATAAAAACAAAATGATAGTAGTAACAAAAAATGATAACAATAGCAATAGAACGTAAAAATGAAGGGAGTTATTATCAATGAGAAAAGATCGATTATAATCCAAATGGTGGAAGCTTAATGGACTAGAAGATAGATGATTCAGGAAAGACTGAATTGAAAAACCATTAAACACTCCATAATTTACCATCATCGCCATTATCATTGGTTATAAACGAAAATGGACAGGGAGGTGAGGGACAAAAGGTTAACGGGTAAATATTATTCTCTGTCACCAATGTCTTTCAAATGTTCCCTCATTCAAAATTGATCATCTTTTCTAACTCGAATGATACGAAGTAAAAATAAGCATAAAAATTGAAATATTAATTAAATCTATTTGTATATTTGTAAAAAGAATTTTTTTAGAAGTAAATGAAAGTTTCATTTCATTCTCGCAATCTGTAAATTGACAACACTTTTAAGCTGCCAATAACTAAATGATATATTCGAAATGACCAAAATACTAAGAATTGCTTGTTGTTGGGATAATCTTTTCAATTAACTTTTTATCATCAAAAATAGAATTAATTTTACTATATTTTAAACCATTGGAGATTAGCAATTAATTACGACTGATAGTGTGGAAGAAAAAAAACCTGCCAGAATTAGAAATTATGAATTATTGAAGTGAATTAAGTTTAATTTAAATTATCGTATGATAATAAATGAGGAAAACTTAAAAATTATTAGTTGAATCAATAATTATAAATTGAATAATGAAATAATTGGAATGAATTATTGGCGGTTTAAGTGGCCGGATATTTGCGCATTTTATGAAAATCATTATCTAAGATTAATATAAGTTTGGAAAGATGATGAAAAGAAAACGAAAAATTAAAGTCGATTAGAGAAAGAAAGAAAGCAATTTTAAGAAAGAAATATTAGAGAAAAAACTGCTATTGTTTTAACTTTTAAATTAATTGTTCCATTTTCCTATGCTTCCCTTTTATTTTCATTTTTTTCTTTCAATTTTTATTGCTTAAAAATCTTTTAATTTATTATTTTAGGTAAATAGCGCTAATATCGAAATTCGAATGATTTATTATAGTTAATTCAGAAATAATCAAAAAAAAAGTTGTTTACTTACCAAAAGAAATTGCTTGTTGATATATGTTTGTCTGTCAATTCAATCCTATCTATTATTATTTCATCAATAAATTATTGCAAATTCAGTTGTCCTCAATTATTTAACCAATTCTTAAGTGAATTTGATTATTGCCTTCGTTCATCCTAATTTTGTTCTCCTGTTCACATATATCAAATTTTCATACACTAAATCATTTGTGGATAGCAAAATTATAATAGAAATGAAGCATAAAGAAATAGATTGCTAAAAGTTTAGTTAAATAAAAAAACCTCATCGATGATGAGTAATTTTAATTACTGCAACTTAAATTAACAACAAATAGAATTAACGGATTTAGTAGAATTAACATAATAGAATTAATGAAGTAGAATTAGAAAAAGAATTAATTTTATTTATGTTGAATAAAGTAGAAATTAATGCAAATAAGTAAATTGTAAGTCTCGCTTTCACAGCTAAAATTATGATTAACTCCGATTTGCAATAGTGAGTAATAGTAGTAGTAGTAGTAGTAGTAGTAGTATAGCAAGAATAAAAATAATGCTTTTGCATTTGAACTAACAACTGAACCATTGGGCAAAAATTCAACCGATGATGATGAATTTAAGAGATGAACGACAAATACTAAAACTGGATTTACCGCAATTGAAGAACATTAAAATCAAAAAAATTCTTTTAAATTTAATGCAAAAAGTAATCGTAGAATGCCACCTTTAAATATATTAGATATTTAATACAGGTATATTCGATATGTATACATGTATATAAAAAGTGCATGTAAAAAGTTTGTAAACGCATAGGAATGATAATAAATAATTTGCCAGTGGTTCGTTTATGAAATGAATTTAAACAAATAAACAAACAGAAAGATTTTCACTATTATATTAGAAGTGTCGTATATTTCGTGATACGAGCAATGAATTATTTAATCGTTGTATATTAGCCAATTTAATATTAGATAAAAGATGATGTATGTCAAATTATCAATAAAAGTTAATTTAACGCAATAGTCTAGCAGTAAAATTGGATATCAAGTTGCAAACTTTTGAAGATTAAGTTTCGAAATCGAACTTTTTATTAATGAAATAATTGGCAATGTTATGCAACACCAATGTAGATTAATCAGGCATAGTAAAAAATTGAAAGCTTTTAATGATTAAATTTTTATTGTTTAAAATAATGGCAATATTATGCAACAATGATTTAATCAGCAGAAATTGAAAAATTATAAAACCTACATAAATCATGAAAATGACATATTTTATGATCATAAAGAATTAGAGCGCCAGTGATAATGATGCGATTAAATGATTACAAAAACGATATTGATTGATTGTAATAATAAAAATGATATAATGATGGCAAGATTTGGTAATAATGTCGAATGGAGGTGTAAATAAGATGATTATCGATGTTAGGCTATATATTTCGAGAAATGTGTCACCATCATCACCATTATCATCATTTTATTACCGCCCTGACCCTATACCCCAACCCTCCTTCCTTTTCCTTCTTTTTGATATCGACGTTCGTCGACGATGGTGCAATTTCATTCTTACGTCAACCTTGAAATAACTAACGACTAGTTTAACCTTCTCCTTTTAAACTCCCTTTTTGCCCGTTTTCACCTCTCCTCTTCACCACCATCCGTCGTTCACTTATCCAATCCATACCAATCAACCAATCAACCATTCCATCTATGTAGTTAACCACAACGATGAAGTAGCCATTGGTGAGACATCGACCGCCTCTAACCACAGCAACAATCACATCCGGTGTATGGATCATTCATATATTCTTCGGCTATTCATTTTAATTTTATTCAATAATTTATTAATTTATCAACTTTTATTAGTTTGAAATCATATTTACAGGATAATTAATAATTAATAATAACAATAATAATAATAATAATAATGCTTTTATATTTTAAAATTGTTATCGGAAATGCATTTTTCCTTTTCTTTTCATAGGTCCTATAACTAAGTACCATCATATCTCACCATTTTTTCTCTCCAGGTAGTATAAAATATATACTACTTGTCTGACCCTAATTTACTCTCGGAATAATAAGAAATGAAATATAAGTTATAAAGAAAACTCTTAATCACACTCACAGTTTTAGAATTCACTGTCCTATCGTAATCGAAAAGGCTGATTGACTGTAGGATCTTCAGAATTCCGAATTTTACTCTACTGATATAAAAAAAGAAAAGGAAATCACACTGAATAATACGAATTAGACACTCTTGCCATTTCCTGCATTATTGGAATTTTATTTTATATTAATTTCAATTTTCTCTTCTCCTTTCCTTTTTTCCCTTAATTATTATTCATCACTTAAACTTACCCTGTGATAATTATCTTTTCTGTCAACAAAATAAATCGGATAGAAATAAAATGCTTGTGAAATCTAAAGCACACAAAAACAATAATGTTTTGTGGTCGAAATTTAGCAATTATTTATAAAATATGAAACGGATCTATCGAGAGTGAAGAGCGAACTATTTTCATTCTATCTACCACATGCACTTTTAGTACACAAATTTGTTTATCTGTTTTTCACATTTCTGCTTCTCATATTTTTCAATCTTAAGAGTTCATCCTCCGGTAGAAACTCATCCAAACCTTTTCAATTTTATTCAAACTTAATAGAACAAAATTTCGTATTAAGTGTAAAAAGCTCGCTATGCTTATCGGTTAAACATAGGCTAGCAACTAGCAACTAAATTCTTAGCTTTCCCATATGACCGGAAAATCTTTGTTATTCCGTTTTAACCGTGTTCAATCCGTTTTCCCACGCGACAAAAGTAAAAACAAATCGTTTTGAAAAGATTTTTGTTCACATTTCTTTTATCAAAAAATCAACAACTATGATTAAATGTTCGAACATTAAAATAGGAAGGATTTGAGATAAACTGACAAGAAAACTGACCACAATTATTCGGAAAGTATGACTAACGACAACTATTCGAGTCGATGATTAATCAAAACTATTCGGGTAGTATGATTAACCACAACTATTCGGGTAGTGAAAATGACCAGAAAATTTCATAAAAACACCATATAAAGTACTATTCAGTCGGTTGTTTCGGAGATGAAGCAAGCCATAAATGATGCATCATTCTGTAAAATCAATTTTAGCTAGAAATGTATAAACATATATACAGGTGTGTGTCTGCATAGTTGTCTGTACGGGTCTGCATAAAATTAATGTTTACATAATAAAGTAAGCAAAATAGACGAGCTCAAGGGTTTGTTATGAGCACTAAGTGGTATTGGCAATGCGGCATATCCACAAAGAAATTCACGGATCAAAAGTACATATATATCGAGATGTAATTATTTGCATATTATTGCTGATAAGGACATTTCGAACAGTTGAAAAATAAAGAAGAAGGAAAAAGTACATCAGACAATTTTAGAATGAATAAGCATTACAGATTCAATTATTTAAACATTTTGAGCGCAAATTGTCAAATAGAGATATGACATGAGGAGGATACCGCTTGGAGCGCTAATGATATGGAAGATAGAAGATGATCAAATGAGTAATCGAATCGATGGAGTGAAAATTCTAAATTAAGAAAGGGATTTAAAAAAGGTTTTAATAATTTGTTGAAATATTTGAAAATCGTAGCGGTATTAATGACCCTGAGTAATGTTTGAAGATATATTATTGATTGATAATCAGATCATCAAATACCGCACACGCACAGGATGTTAATAAAAGGATATATTAATGCTTTTTATAGCATATTTAGGCCAATTTCTCCAGAGAAGATTTTTTTAATAAGAACTGAATTTGAATCTCTGAAGCTTAATCGCACAAAACCCTGAGATCTACCAATACTGTTGCTTGATAAAAATTTGCAGATTAATAATGTCCAACAATCAAGTAATTAAATATTTAAACACTAAAAACAAGATAGTAGTGTGTGAAAATGAGTGGCGCAAAATAGCTGAGTAACGACGATGATAATAGATAGTGTGTGAAAAGGAATGGCGCAAAATAGCTGAATGACGACGATGATGACAAGTAGTGTGTGGAAAGGAGTGGGGCAAAATAGCTGACGATGATAACCTTGTAATTGATGATAGTATGAAGGAATGAAGGAATTTAGAGTATGGAAATAATGCAAATACAGTGATAAAAGAAAAATCGAATGAGAAGAATGATGATGAAAATGACAACGATCATCATCCGTTCATGTTAGATACAACACACATAATTTTTAATAAATGTGTATATTAATGTAATCTGCATATTCGCTTATTATACCAGTATGATATAATACCCATACTAGTATTATCAGTATTGGTATCTATTATATCAATATTATTAGATCATATTGGTATTATATTTAGTATTTCTAACAGTATTTTATCTAATATTATATATTTAGCAATTATGAAACGATATAGGAATCGACATTATATTCCATTTAATAATCTCAATTACTCACCTTTTCCTTTAATAATTTCTTTTCAGATTATTTAAACCTGAACAATAAAACAAAATAATATTGATTTTTTCTTAATGTGTCGTTTCGAAAAAGTGACTATAATTATAAAAGAAATAGATGAATTAATTATACCAATTATATTTCGATCACACTTTCTTCCTAAGATATATTATGCTAATATATTAATCATATGGAAATGATCAAATAAATCAGTAAACAAAGAGGTAAATTGGATTGATAATTGGAAATGATGATAATTAATTAAGATAAATGGGAAAATATTAAATGCATATACATATATTAATAGTAACAGAGAATATCTGGTTAGTAACGAATAGAAAATTTCTTTTATAAGAGATAACAAAAGTTAAAGATGAAATATAAGATTTGAAACTGAACTATTTCTTTTCTTTTTTCTTTCTTTCAAATAAAAGTTCATTGAATAGGTGTGAATGATACAGAGATTGCACAATTATCAATTGTAAAGAAGGATATCATCAAATAGGTAACTGTTGGCATAATGATAATGATGATAGCGATGGAACATTAACAATCACAGATAGATTAGTGAACTGAAACTAACGATGAAATCAAACGAATGACCAATGCTACTTTTTATAATTTTCTACTTCTAATTTGTTCCTTCAAACATTAAAAAATAATACATACAATGGGAAGATGTAGCCAACAAATATATTGCTGGCTTGATAATCACTAAAAACAAAATGATTGAAATAAATTTAAAACAAAATAAGGAGGAAGTAGAGCTTTTACTTGAGAATAGTAATAGCAATAAAAAAACATAAGAAAATTTATGATTAAATGATGATGAAATAAGCACTTAATGATATCTTCTGATATCATCTTTAATGATGATGTAAAAAAAACAACCGATTAATTAGTTTAATTTCTCTGCAAAAATAAAGTTTTATTTATAAAATATTATAGAGTATCATTCTCCATCTCTTGAACATCATCACTTATTTACCTTTCTTCCTTTAATTCAATTATCGTTAAAATTTTCAATTTGTAAATTTCATTGTCGTTTAATTTTTTGAATCAAACTATTTTTCTTTTTTTTCAGAAGAAATAACTTATCGACAAGATTTGCTAATTATTTAATTACGAAAGTTGCACCGATCAGTTAACTGTTCGAACTGTTAAATAATATTTTTAGTCAAGACAGTTACAGATAGCATAAATTTAGTAAAATAGAAACAGTTCAAAATATTGCCAGCATTTGCTGGTAATTTTTGAATTGTTTCTATTCCGGAAAATGAAAATATGGTGGAGTTGAAATGAAATGATCATAAAATATAAAAAATTTTAGATGAATGATGGAACAGATGCTGCCAATAATTTCATGGCAGATATTCGTTACCTTAACTGACTGTCAGATACATTACAAAAAATAAATCAGAAAATGACAAAGAAAAAATAAACAAAAAATTTAGATTTATTTATGTCATTAAAAATAAAGCATTGGCTTCAAATAAAATAAAATATGTGGAAAAAAGAGAAGTTTTGTCTGAAATATAATTAACAATGTTTTTGATTAACAATCATATAAATTCTACGCAATCTTTTTATGTGAATCAGAAACTTCGTGAAAGAATTCTTGTTGAAATTTTAAAAATACCTTAAATTCTGTATATTAAAAAGTTTTGAATCCAAAAAATAATATAATCGCCATCTTTCAGCTTAATTCAATTATCTATATTGAATGAATTCAAAATAATGAATTTCATCCAGAAATTTATACAAGAGCGATTCGTTATTCCGGAAGTAATGTTTAACTTACCCGGTCATATTACGGTAAGTTTCAAAGGAAGAGGGAAAGTGGAAGAGTGATGAGAATAAAAAATAAAGAAAAGACATTGGAAAGAAACTAAACATATCCGAATATTTGAATTATTTCCAAGTTTTTAAAAACTTTGGCAAAAAGTTTCGAACTTTAATTTTTTAGAGCAAAGAGAAAGATTAATACATAATTGCCAACAAAATATTAAGAAAGGAAAAGTGGCTGTTTAGTTGGAGAGAGAGTAAACAGAAGTTGAAGTTGTAGTTGGAGTTCAAGCTCAAGCTTAAGTGAATAACATCAAAATCCATCACCTGATCTTTACACTCTTTCACAGTGCCAAACAAACATTTCTAAAAGATAGAAGAAAATAAAGTAATAGATCAGATATATGTTTGCAACAAATTTGAGGTATCTTTTAGTTAGCGTAGGCTGTCATCGATTAAATTAATGGGTATGCTAAACTGTTTTTAAAATTAAATTTCGGAAAAGAAAAAAGAGAGAGAAAAATTTCAAGAATTTTT